AAGGGACTTTTTTCATTCTTTTATTCTTTGGATTCAATCCCTTTCTTCTTTCCTTTTCCTCCCTTTTTAACTCCAGACTATGTGCATCCTCCCTCCACTATAGACAGCGCGAGCACCTCTCTGCTCATTTGGATCCAATTTTTAATTGGGAGGGAGTTATTTCATGATATTTTGACTAGGACCAATGCCAAGGCTGGGGTAGAAATATATGCTCCCCAATTTTTTGCTCGCCAACTTGGTTTCTGCCAAATCTGGCATGTTCTTCCTTGCTATTCAAGGAACTTGATAGACCGCTTTCATATCATTAATAAAGCGGAGGCAGAGGCTATAAATGCTCGCAATCTTCTTTTGACGAGCCATTTTTCATTAGCCCCCTTCAATTCTAGCCGTGCCATCCATCCCCTTTTTGAACAACTCCGACCGTCAATGAAGCGCAGATTGTTTGCGACTGATATCAATCGTGCTTTTCATTCACTGGACCAGCTAAACATTTCTTCCCCTCCTCCTGTTTTAGTCGCCCCTTTGTCCATCCGGAGTCCTTCTCCTCCTCGTCGTGCTAAACAGTCTGCTCATCCATCTTCTTCTCTCCCTGCCAAGCCTACTGCAGCCAAAAGTGCCCCTAGCCGCAAAAGACAGCATCTCCCATTCTGGAGGAGGATGATGATGATGATGATGATAATACCCCTCTTATCATCAGGTGAAAGGTAATTAAATTGGTTTACTCACAAGCATACTTTTCCATACTTGGAACTTTTCTGTGTGCTGATGATTTATTTGGACTTCTCAGAAAAGTTCAGCCTCTCCTTTGAAGGCCTTGGTGTCAGCAGCTCCTGCTCCATCATCCTCTACTGAGGCTGCTTCATCCAAACCAGCTGATGAAGGGACTACGTTTAAAAAGATATCTTCAATCCCAGAATCCTCATCACAACCAATGGATGAGCCACCTTCTTCACAGGGCGTCGACCACCCAAACATCGAAGCAGAAGGTAATTCAGTTTTTTGATTCTTTACCTTTGCTTGTGCTATTGGTTTTCGATTTGTTGCTTTTGAGTTCTGCAGATGCTCCTATGAGTCTGCCCATTGTGGCAACATCTTCTCGCTTAGATAAGGGGAAGGCCTCACGAATGGTGGAGCCACAGGTGGCAGACTTGGCTGGGGATATGCCATCTTTCAAGATTATTGATGAGGTAATTTTTGCTTCACTTTTACTTCTATCTTGTTTGTTGTAGTGAGAATCTTCAATATTGGCAATTTTCTTTGCAGGATGCTGATAAGATTGTGTGTTCCATCCAAAACTTGTTCGCTTCCTAGGGGCAAGTCAAGACATCTCGCCCTGCTCCAGCTGGTTGTCCTGCTACTTCTTCAGAGGAAGATATGAAGTTTCTCAAGCAGTCGATATTTGAGTACGTGTCCTTCATGGATATGGACATTGGTAAGGCTAGTGCTGCCAGATATAAGGATAAGCTTGAGCATTTGAATGCGAAGTTGGAACAAGCACTGACTCTTCCGTCGCTCAATCTTTCTGCTGATTTTAAAGTGACGTTGAAAGTTATCCATTCCGAGGTCCTCTCCTTGCTGGCCAAGAATGTTGAACTGAAGGTCAAAAGTACTCAATATCTTCGCGCCGTATCTGAAAAAGAGTCTTTGCTTCTGGAGATCAACAAAGCTGATGACGAGTTGAAAGAAATCTCTTCCGAAGTCATGATTGAAGACTCTTTGATGGCTAGTTTGGCTGCTCAGATGAAGGAATTTCAAGCCAAAATGGACGACTGCAAGGCGAGAATGGCTGCTAAAAAGCATAATGCCTCCCAAGGAATTGAGCAAACTAAGTCTTTGGTCGAACAGTACAAGAAATTGGAAGTTGATGATGATGTTGTGGCCGAATTGAACATCCACTACAACAGATTTTGCTTTTTACGGCATGCATTGCATGCCTTAAAAATTACTTTACGGCATACAGTCGCATGCCGTATAAAGTCATGTCGTAAATATGCATATCTTTTTACGGCATGCATTGCATGCCGCAAAAAATAAGAAGCACGCCGTTAATAAACTATTTACGACATTCTTTGCATGCCATAAATGCTTAACCTTTTACGGCATGACTCTGCATGCCGTAAAAAAGAAACTATTTTTTAAGGCAAACATTTTTGTATGTCGTAAATGGTCGTCTCATTTTGTTTACGACATGCACTAGCATGCCGTAAAAATAACGAAATGACTTTCACATTTTATATGCTATAAAGATTCATTTCTTTGTAAATATCTATTTTTTGATAACCATTAAACCCATAATAATTAAAGAACATAATTCCCAATATAAACACATATATAATAACTTCTCCCATAATTTTAGAAAATAAAACCAATACAAATGTCGAGTTAATTTAGAAATGAACTAAGAACATCAGTAGCCTACTCAAAATAGTTGATATCAACATCCAAAAGTATGAACTACTACTCCAAAAACAAGTAATCAAAATAGTACAAAATAATTGATTCACATCGATTTTGATTAATTTGATCAACAATTTTGTTATCCCAAAAATAATCAACTCCCTGCACATCACAAAAATAAATGAGGGTATAGTTAATATATTAAAGTAAATACGCAAATGAAAAATGATATAAAAGAACAAGTAAAGCATACATTTATTGTGCTTATAGCTAATCCATTTTGATGAACCTGATTGGTCATGCAATTGTACTTCCTAATACATCTTCAAGAAGAAATAGCTCCCGTGTGGGACGATACAAGGTAACATTGTCAATCACTTCATTAACCCAAACTCTCCAACATTTATCGCCAAGAGGTACATGATGCACTAAATCACAAGGATTTTTTTATGCGATTTCACCATTTGCAACTACATCAGCTTTCCCGAACCAACATAACAATTTGCATTTTTTACTCTGAAGGCTATCTAAACCATTCGAGCTTCTATCACTATGCTGTAAAATTCATATGAAAGTGCAATTTGTTAATTTGAATATAGAAAAGAATATGAAATATAGAATATCATTTAGTAACGATAGTTTCGCACTTACATTTTCTTGTTCAACACTTTTACTCTTCTGTTGAAACAAAGCTTTTAATTCTTTAATTTCGTCTCTTAACTCTTGTACTTGAGTTTGCAAGTTCTGACTATGTACCAAAGCATTCAACTTTGAAGGAGTTGCACCGAAGCCAAGCCCTCTTACCCATCCTCGACGTTCTGGACCAAGTGTTCTTGCAACACCATCATCCTTGGGAAAATGTTTACTTGGAGAGGTAACTGTTTCTGAACAAGCTTTTATTTTTTTCTGATATTGAGAAATACATTAATGGTTTAAAGTAATGCAAATATAAACTGATAAATAACCAAAAAAGAAATTCAAAAACCTATATCGTTACCAATGTTTCCCCAACTGATTCATTAATCGATCCACCATTTTTTCGCATATGTCCTCGAATATAAATATCATCTCTCTTAATGGAATCAGGGTCTTCACTTTCAATACGCTGCGATTTGTTTTAACCAAGAAGTATATATGTTAGTTTGTACATATTTACAGATTTTCTAACAAATTTAACTTATAATGTAACATAAATTTTACCATTTCACCTTCTAAGCGAGCAAAGCCTTTTCTACTCGTTGTGTGCAGCATAGTTTGACTAGCTCACATCTTTTTGAATCTATCATTCTTTTCTTGCAAAATCAAACAATTATAGTACAAGCAAAACATTATGGCACATTTAGTATATAAAAGCAATGGAACGTACCTTATATGGTTGAGAATTGCGTTCTTTAACAAATGCTTGTCATTCTTCCATTGAGTCAACGTTATCTGGCTTGAGGAGAGCAGCAGCTCGTTTCATGCCAATTGTTCTTCCTTTGTCGCTGATTGTTTTCAGCACATTAGATCGATGATCTCTCCAACTCTTTCCTAATTTCCTCATAATGTACTTTCTATGACAAATGTCAATATCAAACCTTTGCTGCATCAAAATATGTAAGATTAATAATAATTTAATTTAATCTATATATGATGTGAAGTTTATATCACCTGCACAAGCTCCCATATATCATCAAGAAAACTTTCGCTGAAATCTTTCCAATTTTTCTTTGTAATAGGTATAGGTTCCCTAGCTGTGGTTCCAAGGAATGATGATAACTTATTTGACTCTTTACAAATTGGTTGCCCTCTTTCATTAAATTCTACAGTTAACTTTGCACATTTTCCCTTGTTGAGATAGTTCAGCTTTGCTCGACCCCTTCCTTTCTTTCCTTTTTCAGAAGTATTGACGCTATTAGGCAAGACTTCTGCATCATGTCGCACGGAATTAGAACCTCTCTCTGATATTCTTATGCCTTCATTTCCTTCTCTTGTGGCAGCAACAACTAAAGCTTTTTTAGCTCGTTTTGATTTGTTGTATCCTTGATTAGATGACTGCATTGCACAAATAAGAAAAACACATTTTT